AAAAGCGTTCCTTAACTCGAAAATGACAGCAAAAATGAGTGAGCAACACTCAGTGNACTTTCGCGACCGCGTAAGACAATACGAGCATGGATCGGAAACTCGGCCTTTCCGACCATGATCAACAGCTTGTCCACAGCGCGGAGCGGAAACTAAAGTTTTCCGCTTGCCACACACTCAAAGTAATGACTTCGGGATTATGGANACGTTAGTTTTGTTGTTGCCATTCTTTGGACTAAAAATTTGGTTTTTTGCGTTCCTTTACTTTTTCCTGTTATTCTCTTTTAGTGAGCGCATTTTGCTTACGCTCTGGCATTTTGACACTTTTCAGTCCAAAAAGATAAGGAATAACCTAATACTATACCTGTATTGTTGCCAGCTTTAATTAAATGTAAAAACATTTGAGTTTTTCACAGATAACTATTAAATAGCGAATTCCCCAAATTTCCCCACAACATACCGTTCCCCAAACATTACCCACAAAAATTAAATTTTCCCCGAATTTGGGGACTTACCCATAAAAAGGCAAAGCTGCAGGTATTGTAAATGTTTTCGTTTCGTCATTTTTAAAATGAAGAAATATGAACTTCTTTAGAAATAAAATAAATGTGCCTGTTCATTTTCTCCAAAATTTAGGAAATTTAGTACTTGGAGCTAAAAATTATCTTCCAAGTTGGAAAATTTGGGCTTAAAGGAGCAGGACACACCGAATTTCATCAAAAAAGGGTTTTTTTTTAACTTGCGCCTGTTTTTCTAGAACTACTGGACGATAATGTAAACCGATTTTGACGATCTTTCAGATTTAAAATTTCCTCTTTGAAACCAGCATATGCTCTGAATTTCATCAAAATCGGATAACATTTACTATTTCCGCCCACAAGAGCTGTGGGCGTGGTAGCACGTTGAATTTTACCATTTTCCACATTTCTTCATTCCTAAGTTCCGAACAGCGCATATACGAAATTTCTGCGAATTTCTTGTATGGTTACTACTTTTGGCCGCAGCTTATATGGGGACGTGACACTGTGGAGCGTGAGGAACGAAAAAAACGACATTTCGTGCCCGGAATCAGAAAATCAGCTCTAAACAATGATTTTATGTGTATTTATCTTATATGGCGAATACAATTAGCGAATAACTAAATTTTTTTTGAAACTTCAGTGGTATTTTGCTTTTCCACAACAGCTGTTATGGCAACTTAACTTTTTGCACATTTGTGCCCGAAAAAAAGTCCGGGCTGTTTCGGGCAGGAAGAAGAAGACATCTACGATGCAAAAGTGGAACGTATTCGCTCTCTATTACCCAATTTTATAGCGTGAGGAACGCTTTCTGGGCTGTTTTGGACTCTCGCGGGATCCCGCCGGCTCGTGTGGAACAAACATAATATGTAGAGATGAATAAATTATGAGGTTCTTTCCCTAACAATCCGGACCGGATCCGGTAATTAGAGAATAAGCGAAAAGTTTACTCTCAAAAATGCAAAACCACATTTCGAAACAGTTGATTCACGTTGTTTTTGTCTTTTTTCACTTAAATGCAAACCCTAGAATTTTGGTTCCACAAATTTGATTTTAAGTATATAAACATTCAAAATATATCAACAGTCCATTCAAGGCGCGAATGTGCTGACTGTTTGTTTGATGACAGGAGATACTTCGCCTTGTCCTCGTTTACCACCAGACCCATTCGCTTTGCTTCCTTATCCAACTTGGAAAAGGCAAAACAGACTTCGCGGTTTTGTTACCAATGATATCGATGTCATCGGCATAAGCCTGCAATTGCACGCTCTTCTAGTAAATGGTTCCTTTGCGGTTCAGTTCTGCAGTTCTTATTATCTTCTCCAATATTAGATTAAAGAAGTCACATGAAAGGGAGTCGCCCTGTCTGAAACTCCGTTTGGTGGCGAACGCTTGGAGTTGGCGCGAATGGCGGGGTCGCCTTTCTTGTAGATTGGGCAGAGCACACTTAAATTCCAGTCGTCGGGCATCCGTTCATCTGACCTTATTCTGCATAAGAGTTGATGCATGCACATGATCAACTCCTCGCCACCATACTTGAATAGCTCAACTGGTAGGCTGTCAGCTCCAGCCGGTGGAACATCGACTCCGTCAGCATCGACTGGATGCTCAGGTTCTTCTTCTCCACAACTTTCCGTGCTCCCAACATTCAGTAGGGTGGAAAATGTTCCCTCCATAATTTAAGTATGTTCTGAACATTGGTAACTAGGTTGCCTTTGTTGTTCTTACAGGAGTTCGCTCTGGTCTTGAAATCTTCCGTAAGTCGCCTAACTCTCTGGGAAAATTTTCAGGCATTCTTCCTGCCAGCCAGCATTTTATGCTCTTCGCACTCACGTATTTCGGCCTCTCTCTTCTTATTGCGGCAAATACGTCTCGCTTCCCTCTTCAGATCCCTTTAGCGGCTCCACATAGTGCGCGTTGCCCTGCAGGCGGCGTTTTTTTTCTCTGCTGCTTCCTGACACTTCTCATAGTACCAGTTGTTCTTTCGGGCTCGCTGAAATCCGACTACTTCTTCGGCGGCGGTACTTAATGAGCGGGAGATGTGGTTCCACTGCTCGCATGTCGGTCTGTTGATGAGTGCTCTCTGAGAGCAGGTGTTAGAGTCGAGTGGCGAATGCATTGCCTGCTTTTGTGATTGCAGCTTTCCTTGCATAATTGGGCGTCTGCATTGACCTGCATTAAAAAACCAGGACAATTTAGGTGTGAACCAGGACACCAGGACAATTTTCAAAAACCAGGACAAATCCTGGAAAACCAGGACGTCGGGCAGCCCTACATTAGTCGCGTGTTCCCTTGCGATTGCTCGTGGAGTCATCGCGGATTAGTCGCAGTTTTTGCAAGGCTGTTTGATAAAATACAATTCTTATGTATCAAAATATCGTTGAATTATTTTAATACCTACTTATCGCAAAATTTGATACAGACAAGACTAAAAAGTAGAAAATAAATGAAATAAAATAAACTTTTTAATATACCACGCTTCTATAAATGGACTAAAAAGTAGAAAATAATATTTCTCAGTTCCATAGAGTTTGTTTTGATAACTATTTATTTGGAAATTTTAGCAAAAGTCATTAAAAGCAATTTATGAGATTGAAAGCGAAAAGCGTGGTTCGCATGTAATAGACTTGAATTGATATGAAAAGCAATATATATATTAGGGTGCTTCTTTCGGCGCTTATTTTTTTACTCCCACCTAGAAATTAATATTAATATTAAGTGCTCGACCAAGGCGTGCGAAGATTTCCCGTCCAAAATACATGTAAACTGTGATTGTGTTTCTTCAAAATTCTATAGCTCACAGGAATTTTATGGTATAATCATAGTCAATGAAGATTTTTCTTCAGAATTGAATGCTCTACAAAAGATTGCATTACGGCGTTACTCTAACTTCCACCAGAGAGTTAGTACGGGTCACTAAACCCAATACTTTCATGAAATTCCCGTTTTTTGCCCCTATCTCGTAAATAACAAGAGCTATAGAAAAATTGCAAATGCCGAAGTTGTAGGCTATTCAATTTCCTACAAAAATGACATTGGGCTTTGAAGTGGAGGCTGTGTGGAATTTTCATGGATTATTGAGCTAAATTGTAGAAATTGTGGATCAACAATTTCAAAACAAATTCTATGGAACTGAGAAGTATTATTTTATTTTATTTTATTATTTATTAAAAAGTTTATTTATTTTTTTTTGATGGCACACTGCCAGACTAAAACATAACAGGTTGGCATTAAGCGTGATCGTTTGATAACATTCTTCGTAAAGTTCGTTGAAAATGCAAAATAGTTACATAAAATAATTGTTGTCTAAAATATGGCCATTAATTTATATTTATGTACCTATGTGAAGGATTTTCGGATCTTTGTGTAGTGCGGTTAACGAATTTTTAAATATTTACTCAAAAATATTATTTTCAATGGATCTTAAGTGAAAATTAGTTTTTCGTAAAATTTTTTGAAAACTGGGCGTGGCGTGGATCTCGAAAACCACTTCACTAATCTTTACCAAATTTCGTTTACACATTGCGCAGGACTTTCTTAAATACTGTCTTGAAATTTTTAAAATCGGACCAAAACCACGCCCTTTAGAAGTATCGCTAACTTTGATTTAAAAAAATTATTGTTTTTTACTTGTAACTCTTTAAGCATTTGAGAATAATGAATCAAACAAGAACTTAATGTTTCCTCAATGGATTTCAAACAATTTGATGTATAATTTGTGCGTTCAATTTAGAAACTTATGTTTTAGCGTTGAATCGCACGATCGCCGATAACACATATTTTTAACCAATTATGCCCAGAAACCATTAACCGGGAGTCAATTAAGCGGCGATTACTGTAAATGTTTAGAACGACGATCGCTGCTAACTTTTCGTGTTCTTCGTGAACTATATGCATATTTATTCAAAAACGAAACTCATATTTCTTTTGATTCCATGCATATGTATGTATGATGCATTTGTAATACAATAGGGGTATTTTCGAAATCTTGCAAAGCCGTTGCATGTAGCACGGATTGCACGGATTGCATAACTTACAAACACACAACAACAAAAAACATGAGTAAAANAACACCAGGTCCCGTCTTATTCGCAAAACCCTTGTAGACCAGTGTATTTTGCAAAAAGCATAGCAAAATAAATGCGATCCTTNAAAATTTACTATCGGTGCAAAATATGCAACGTCCAAACCCAAGTATATATTTTGCAAAAAGCATAGCAAAATAAATGCGATCCTTTGCTAGTTGTTTTGTTGGTGGAATTGCTACATATTTCTCTCATTGCTCTCATCTTGCTTACTTAATTTTTTTTAGTGTATTTTGTTTCTGTATTTGATACAGAATTTCGCTGCTTGCTACCTATGCATGCTATAACTTTGCAATGGGGTGCTCTCGTACTCTTCCAAATTTGGAATAGTATTTTTGCATTTCGTGCAATCCGTGCGTCGTTCAAGACTTCGAGAATACCCCTAATATTTATTTTGCAGCGACCGCAAGTTTCGATGACGCTTTACACGAATAATATAATCGTTTCGGCAACCAGTTTTGTTGGATACTGTTTGGCTGGTGTGATTGTGAAAACCTTAGGAGCAAAAAGACTTTTAAGTAGGTTTATAACGATAATTTCAAATTTTCGATTTTAAAGAGTTTTGTCGTACTTTTCAGCGTTTGGACTTTTAATATCAGGTTTCTTTGGCATAGGACTTTATTGGTCTGTGAGTGGCCTAACTACGCTGATTATATCGTCAGCATTTCTGACAGTTACCAGCGTATCAACATCGTCGCTTTTGGGAATTCTTATTAACCTTTTTCCAACTGCTCTGAGGTAAGTGTATGCATACAATACATATATATATACCATATTATAGGTACGTATGTATATATTAGACTGTCCCAAGAATGTGTGTAAAAAAATTCGTTTGCAAATTTTGATATGCATACCTCCGTATTTGTGCATTTTAACCTAAATATCATATATATGAAGTTTTACGGCCTTAGGATAACGATAACCCGTGCCCNGCAAAATAAATGCGATCCTTTGCTAGTTGTTTTGTTGGTGGAATTGCTACATATTTCTCTCATTGCTCTCATCTTGCTTACTTAATTTTTTTTAGTGTATTTTGTTTCTGTATTTGATACAGAATTTCGCTGCTTGCTACCTATGCATGCTATAACTTTGCAATGGGGTGCTCTCGTACTCTTCCAAATTTGGAATAGTATTTTTGCATTTCGTGCAATCCGTGCGTCGTTCAAGACTTCGAGAATACCCCTAATATTTATTTTGCAGCGACCGCAAGTTTCGATGACGCTTTACACGAATAATATAATCGTTTCGGCAACCAGTTTTGTTGGATACTGTTTGGCTGGTGTGATTGTGAAAACCTTAGGAGCAAAAAGACTTTTAAGTAGGTTTATAACGATAATTTCAAATTTTCGATTTTAAAGAGTTTTGTCGTACTTTTCAGCGTTTGGACTTTTAATATCAGGTTTCTTTGGCATAGGACTTTATTGGTCTGTGAGTGGCCTAACTACGCTGATTATATCGTCAGCATTTCTGACAGTTACCAGCGTATCAACATCGTCGCTTTTGGGAATTCTTATTAACCTTTTTCCAACTGCTCTGAGGTAAGTGTATGCATACAATACATATATATATACCATATTATAGGTACGTATGTATATATTAGACTGTCCCAAGAATGTGTGTAAAAAAATTCGTTTGCAAATTTTGATATGCATACCTCCGTATTTGTGCATTTTAACCTAAATATCATATATATGAAGTTTTACGGCCTTAGGATAACGATAACCCGTGCCCACTTTTAGTTGAAGTTTTAGTTAATAACTTGAATTAATCGTCCATGAAAACTGTGGAAATGCGAAGAATTCGATATGTTTCCGATATTTTAGTACATTTCTAGTAAATCTACATCTTTTAACTTGTTAGAACGACAGGGTTTCTTCCTAGGACATCAAAAAAAATTAATAAAACTGAAATATCCTTTGCAATTTGTATCCTTTAATATCCTATTTTATATTTACAGGATTTAAATTAAACTAAGATTCCTTAAAATGCATCCAAAATTAAAAATCTGGAAGGAAAATATTTTTAAATGATATTTTTGACATTTTCCAAAAATATAATTGCAAACAAAAATTATAATTAATCTGGTTTTGAGTTGTTATTTTAGTAGATACCCATATATCCATACTTTGTGTAAAATTTTGGAAATATATTATAATTTATGGTCCTTTGGAAAATATCCTGACTACCTAAAAACGCAGATTTACTAAATGTTATGCCTTATTAGTGTAGGGAGTATAGTAATACCGCTTTATCTATCTATATCTATATCAGTCTATACTAATTATATAAAGAGAATACCCTTTTTTTGTAACAGGTAATCTCGCGAACGGCTGGTCCGATTTTTATGAAATTTTGTACATAAATAGCGTTCAGCAACCACCATGTTATAGGCCATAGGACCATCCACCACCAATCTTATTATGGTCCGATTTGCTTAATATTTGGTCCGTAGGTAGCTTTTTGCCTGCATTAGCATATAGATTCTTTTTTTCCTGGAAGTGGGCCAGGGACCGATCTATTAAAAAAAAACGCAGTTTGTCCCGATTCGCTAAAATTTGGTTCGTAGGTAAATTTTTGCCTAGATTAGCATATTTTATTCTTTTTTTCGGGCATTGGACCAGGGACCGATTTATTCGAAAAAACCGTATTTATGGTCCGATTTGCTTAAAATTTGGTACGTATGTAGCTTTAGCCCAGATATGCATATATTATACTTTTTTTCCGGGAAGTGGACCAGAGTCCGATCTATTCGAAAAAATTTTACATATGGTCCGATTTTCTTGAAATTCGGTACACGCATTTCAGATATACATAGAATAGAATTGAATGGTCGTTTTGGCACTCTGAAATTGTGCAACTAAATGCACCACTAAATTATGTTACAAAAGTAGGCTTATTGTGTGCTTAATGCACCACTAAATTGATGTTATAAAAGTAAACCTATCGTGTGCGCAATGCACCACCCAAAAATAGACTGCCTCTAACAATTCAATATTGCTACCAACTAACTTCTTAGCCTACCCAATTATGCGTATGTTGCAGTTCCCGCGCATAGGTCGATATTGCCTACCTTGCAGTTCTTACGCTTTCGCTGGTTGTGTTTGCCCAACGTGATCGTGAACCCTAAGTGGAGTAATGATGTCACGGGTCTGGCAACGTAAGCAAAGGGTGATCCATTAGGTAGCGTTAAGGTAACTTTAAAGATCTGCGTCCCGCAGATCAAAGGTCGAAAAACATGAAGGGGCTGTATTTCGAAGAGAATGGTCACGGCTTCCTTCTTTTACGTCGGTTCTGACGTCCGCTGCTGGTAGGCTAGTTTCTAAGCAACGAGTTGCGAGCCCAGATATGCCCTTAGAGATCTTGTTGGTGCTACTTCTGTTCGCCCAGAGTATCGGAACTTCCGAAAGGTCTGGCTTTTCGGTATAACATCTCCACAGTATGACGGCGACAAAGATTATTGCGCATATTGAGAAAGCTTCTGTAACGATAGAGTAATTGATCTTTTCATTAAAATACCCTCATCGTGATGTCGTGCACGTATTCTAGGTTGATCTTCATGGTATGATCCTTGATGTTTGGCTTCGTTGCTGGAGAACACTTGGTCACCGATCCTAATGCTTTCTTTACTCAGTTGGATGACGTAGGTGCCATTTATAACGTTTGAAGCATTGCTACTCCTGATTTCGCCTTGGTAATGAAGATTGTATTGTCGCTTATTAATTCTGTAATAGTTGCATTTCGCCTGGTGAATTGACACCTTGCCTCTCCCCCTTTTAACAGTCGTGGTAGGCAGCTGTCTTCCTTCAATTTGGTCAGTGATTCTGAGGTACAAACTGTGGATAAGCTTATTATTAAGCACTTTTTCGTCAACCCGTATGTTTCTTCTTGGTTGACGAGCATCCTGTCGAACGGTAGGTCTAATTGCTTCCCCTCGTAGATACCGGCGCGAGTAATCATAAAATATTATATTTGCTGGTTGTTACCTTCGGCATTGAGAGCACGTAGACAAGCAGTGTCCTATTTGTGTATACTGATTACGTTTTGGTATGGAAGAGTTTCCATCTCTGATAAGATCTGGTTGACCTCGTCCGTGTCGAGTAAGTTGGTGTTAACAATTCCGCGCTTTGCCAGTTGACATGCCCGTACCATTTCATTAACCTCCTCACGAACGAGCATGATGTTGTGGAGCGCGCTTTAATCGAATTCTGTTGCCTCGGTTTCTTTCGTTATGTAATTGGTGCGGTCCACTACCTCGTCGATTTTTCTCAATACCTCTTGGGTGGCTGTGAACAGTTACGCGTTAACCTTGTATTGATGGTTGTTGCTTTCAATCACTTGATTTTGGCTGTGGAGAATATTGTTCCAATCAGTTGCGTCAGGTGATCCTGCTAGCCATTTCCATGCTGAGCGTAGCCAGTCAATAGAGCGGGAAATCCTGGTATTCCCTGTACGCCCCATCAGCTCTTCGAGCCGGTCCAATGTTTGATTAATATAGAGCTGCGCTAAGAGCTGGTCATCGGTTCATTTAATTAACCGGCTTGTCATGTTTTCCATTTCCCTATGAGTTTTGGCATATTGTCGGAGGTTGATAACATGGATTAGCTTGAATGACCCGCCAATGATCCAACCGTTTCCGCTTTGGATAGTTACGATCGGAGCCTTATAATGAAAGATATGGAGACCGCTGATGGCTGATGCCAGCAGTGGGAGTCTGCAACACAAAATGTTATCCCTAAATTTATTGGTGTTAGTGGGTTAGTAATTGTTAAATTCTATTCTATTCTATGAAATTAATAGTATTGCTAAAAACTATACAGTATGCGGGATTGTTTAACAATAAGGTATTAATTGGTTACTGTTAGCGTGATAGTACTAAGCTTGTAAAAAGGGTTACTGCTATTACATTTTATCAATATGGACAATTTTTGGAATTTTGGTCTTTTGTTGTATTGGTTAGTTTTATTGTTGTTAGTGTGTTAGAATTGTGTTAAGTCTCTAGGCATTACTTGTTATAATAATCTTAAGCAAACAATTTTTTACTTTTTTTTCTCTTGCGAGATAGGGGCAAGGATATAAAATTAAACATGTTTTTGTAGAAAAGGTTACTACTATTACATTTGATAATGTGGACACTTTTAAAGATTTTGGTGTTTTGTTGAATTGGTTCATTTTATTGTTGTTAGTGGATTAATATTGTGTTAAATTCGTAGGAATTACTTGTTGTAATCTTTTGTGGTAAAAAAAGTTATTTTTTTTTTGTTTTTTTTTGCGGATTAAGTGCAAGGTTAAAGCTAATTTTCTTTTTTTGTTTTACGGATCAGGCGCAAAACTGATGTTCTTTTATTTTTTCGACTTGCGAATTAGGCGTAAGGATAAAGTTAATTTTCTTTTTTGTTTTACGGATTAGGCGCAAAACTGATATTTTTTTATTTTTTCGACTTGCGGATTAGGCGCAAGGATAAAGTTAATTTTCTTTTTTTTTTGTTTTACGGATTAGGCGCAAAACTGATATTCTTTTATTTTTTCGTTTTAAGTTAGTTTTCTCTTTTGTTTTACGGATTAGGCGCAAAACTGATATTCTTTTATTTTTTCGACTTGCGGATTAGGCGCAAGGATAAAGTTAATTTGGATTTCAGATTCATACCTTTCTCGAACGAGCTACGGGGGATCGTGGAATCCTTTTTGGGAGTAACGTAGCCATTTGTCATTTTCGATGGCGCCACAACCTACTAAGGCACGATT